TAACTCCAACACTGAAACTTACAAAATTAATTGTGTGTTGATGTCAGTCACTGCTGCAGTTCCTGATATGGTGTCTTTATTAAACAGGATAGCCATTAGCAACAGCAGTTACTGGCCTAGTGAAATACTTCTTACCAATGTTTCTATCTGTAAAGATAATCAGAAGCAGTTTGCCTGCTTTCACAAGGCAGAGAGAGCTGTATCCCTTCAATGCCTTATCTCAGTGCTCTGTTAGCTCAGTTTCCTCTAATAAAACAGACCAGAGGGATAGCTTAAGAGTCTTGATAGCTCACAAAACATCATGCAGGTCCATTAAACTGAGGACACTGTGCAACCTGGACTGAATAAGTGCCCTAAAGACATGCCAGCAAAGTGAAAGTTGCTCAGTCATGTCTGACTCTTTGCAACCCCATGGACTATACAGTCCATGGAATTCTCTAGGCCAGAACACTGGAGTGGGAAGCCTTTCCCTTCTCCAGGGGATCTTTCCAACCCAGGGATTGAACCCAGGTTTCCCACGTTGCAGGCGGATTCTTTACCAGCTGAGCCACAAGGGAAATCCAAAGATATGCCAGAGGATAGAATTAAAAAGTTCATGATATTTGGTAGATTGAAGAAGTTCCTAGGTTTGGGGGTATATCAGGATATCCTAAGAGACAAGTACTTTGCATTGCTCAAAACAATAAAAGAGGCATGATGCTTGGTGAACCTCTCTAGACTTTACAGTCAATCTATGCCACCTTTGGGTCTGCTGCTACAACCCATTTACTCACTTTATTGTGGTAAAATATATATAGCATATATTTACCATTTTGACCAGTTTTAGATATATAGTTCAGAGGCAATCAGTACATTCACACTGGTGTGTAACCATCACCATCATCCAGCCACAGAACCTTTTATGTTCCCAAAATGAAACTCTATACCCATTAAACAGTAACTTCTCCATTTCCTTCTCCTCCCAGTCCTTCCATTCTACTTTCTATGAATTTGATCACTTTAGGTACCTTATATAAATGGAACCATATAATATCTTTACGTTTGTGTCTGGCTTAGGATAATGTCTTCGAGGTTTATCCATGTTGTAGCATGTGTCAGAATTGCCTTCCTTTTTAAGACAATAATATTCCACTGTATTAATATATGTATAACACATTTATCTATTTCACTGTTGACACTAATGTGGGGTTGTTTCCATCTATTGACAACTGTGAACAGTGCTATTATGAACATTGGGAAAATTTCTGTCCAAGTTTCTGCTTTCAGTTCTTTGGGGTATACACCCAGGAGAGGAACTGTTGGATCATATGGTAATACGATGTCTAATTTTTCAGGACCTGCCATATTGTTTTTCACAGTCGCTACATCATTTTACATTCCTACTAGCAGTGCACAAGGGTTCCAATTTCTTCACAAACTTACCAACAATTTTCTTTTTTTATAATTTTCATTCTTTTTTGTGGGTGGGGGGCGGTTAATAGCTATCTTAGTGGTAGTAATTTGTTGTTGTTCTTGTTTAGTTGTTAAGTCATGTCTGAGTCTTTGAGATCCCATGGACTGTAGCCCACCAGGCTCCTCCGTCCATGGGATTTCCTAAGCAGGAATCCTGGAGTGGGTTGCCATTTCCTCCTTCAGGGGATCTTTCCAACCCAGAAATCAAACTCAAGTCTCCTGCATAAGCAGGCGGTTTCTTTACCACTGAGCCACCAGGGAAGCCAAGTGGTGTCTAATAGTGGTTTTGATTTGTATTTTTCCTAATGATTAGTGATGCTGAGCACCTTTCCTTGTGATTATAGGTCATTTGTGTATCTCATTTGAAGAAATATCCATTCAAGTCCTTTGCCAACTAGCTAGCTTTTGTGGGCCCTGAGAAAAAGACTGCAGCAGATTCAAGATGCCATGTAAGATACCTTGCTATTTGAATGTATGACTGAGCAGATCCAATAATATGAGAAGGGTCTGTAGCCGACAGAGGTGCTATATGCACTCTTTGGTAATCCCAATAAGAGAATCAGAGCTTATATTCATAAGGTTTTGTAGGTAAGTCATGCCTTATTTGCCAAATGTAATCTCCCATTTGGAAAGCAGTTCTGGACTTTGGTTGAAACTGAATTATCAAATAACTATGTGTCCTGAGGGAGAAGGCAATGGCACCCCACTCCAGTACTCCTGCCTGGAAAATCCCATGGATGGAGGAACCTGGTAGGCTGCAGTCCATGGAGTTGCTATAAGTCAGACACGACTGAGCGACTTCACTTTCACTTTTCACTTTCATGCATTGGAGAAGGAAATGGCAACCCACTCCAGTGTTCTTACCTGGAGCATGCCACGGATGGGGGAGCCTGGTGGGCTGCCATCTATGGGGCTGCACAGAGTTGGACACTACTGAAATGACTTAGCAGCAGCAGCATGTCTCCTGAACTGCTCACAATGATAGTGATATCTGATCCACTGAATCATGAAACTGGCTGTGTACAGCAGCATTCATGTCTAAATAGAAATGGTATTGGGCCCTAGTAGGTCCAAAAATCACAAATGAAACATGCAATCATGCAATCGAGACGTCCATGATGCTTGTTCTACTGCTTTACGACTGCTCCTTCAGCTTTCCTAGAGAATTCTCTTAACCAGTTAGTAAGGGAGAAGAAAGCTCCAGCCTATTTTATAGGTAAATCTGCACTGAATTTCACCATCATTTACAAGTGGATTGCTGCTGCATTGAACTGTGAAAGATATTACTGAAAGAAACTCTTCCCAGTGGGCAGAGCTTGGGCAAACCCACATATATGGGCAATCCATATAGCCATGTTTGTTGTCTGTAACCAAAGAAGCCCTGCCGATATGCTCTAGAGTTCTAACTGGGTTTTGCAATAGCCCTGAGTGTGGCCTCACCATCTGGCTTTAAGTCCTCTTCATTCTGATCCATCCTATATTGAGCCAGTGATTTGGTTTCATGCCTTAGCCTTCACCCACACTGTCAATAAAACCAGTGTGCCAGATTCTAGAATATTACTTAGAATTAAAATGAAATTACTATCTTATTTGCATTGATTGTTTTCTGTATTAGCTTTCTTTCAGTCATTATGTTACTGTCCTTGAAATATTATCATATTGAAGAAGGATGTAATTAGAAAGGGTCTGTTTTCATTCTGGAAACTAGCAGCAGGTAATAGTCATGTGCCATATTGCTGTTTTTATGCAAGAGAAAAATGGCTCATATTTTTGTAAGTCCAAATCAATGTATTCATTCCATTTCCCAATTTTCAATCCTTTCCAGGGGGACCTGCAGGTGTCACATATTGCCAGAAAGAAGTTTTCACAATGAGGTATAAAGTGACCTGATATAAAAAGTAATGAATGAATTTGACCTGTCACTAGTGTCTGATAAATATATGCTGAATATCTGAAATTCCTATTAAACACATATACACAGGATACTGATCTGTATTATCCATATCTGAAATAAGTATCTGGGTTAGTGGTATTTTAGTAAAAAAAAAACTGAGTTCCTCTTCCTGTAATTAAATTAATCTATTTGCTATTATTAGTATTTACAGCTCAGTTATTAGCCTTATAGACTACTGGGCATATCCACATACATACCACCTCCATGATTAAACTTGTGTTCACAGCAAAATATATGACATATTTTGAAATGTTGTTTTTCTTGTTTCAACCCTCAAAATCTTATTCAAAGCAATAAAATAAAATTCATTATAACATTTTCAGGTAAAACTTAAACAGAGACTGAGACCAACTCTTAAGCTTTTAATATTGTATTTTTTAAAATCCACAACCTCATTTTAAGACTATTACATGGTAAGCCCAGAATGTAGCATCTAAATGAAGGCCCAGGGCATGAGCTCCCTTTAAGACTGAGATCTCAAATCAAAGTCCTCTTTTAACCAGACTGATGTTAATGGTAGAAGTTTATGAAGTACATATTTTAATTAAAAACATCAGCTTGACTTTCAAAGTTTTCGAGGCCTTAACCTGATGCTCTGATGTTCAGATATACTGTCTCCAAAACAAACAGAAACCAAGCTAAGCCTCCTTAAAAATATTCACCTTTCCAAATAGAACCTGGCTAGATACTTATTTCTTAAATAATTAAATTGGCTGGTCATAATTCAATAGATTTCTTTTTAAACAAATGAGATAATTCATTATAGTGAAAGAAGAATATTAATTTGGGTTTGGTTTTGGTATAATCCCACGGTTCACATGAATAAACAACTAGGAATGATTTATTTAAGAAAAGAAAAACAGATTAATATATAACCATATCCAAATAGTAGAAAAGTAAAAGGATAAATTTTACTGGATTTACTGGATTACTGAAATATGCAATTAATTATTCTCATATTTCAAGTGGAAACAAAACATGGGATAACAATAAATATCCAGATTATAATGACCCTAGGAAAGAAAAAGGGAAAATGGATAAATGAAGACAAAAATATCATTTTAAGTTTCTGATCAAATAAATAAGATAGGAATTTGCATAAAAATAAGAATCTATATCATTGCTCACTGCATCACCAATGGATGAACACAGAGACCATATTGACATAATTCTTATAAAATAGTGTGGCTGTAAAAGTAAAGGGAAAATGATTTTGGCAGAGCTTACCTTGAGTCATTGCTAAGCCTGAAATGTTCCAAAGGTGGCTTAAGACATTTGATGAATTCAAAACAGTCAGCTTGTGTAGCCTTTAAAATATTACTTCTTTATGGTTCCTATTTACCAGCTTTTATATGTACTAAGAATGATATAAATTATTAATAATATGGGTTATTATATATAAAATATACAACAGAATGTACTCATTGACATTCCCTGAAAATCATAAACACAATTCCAAAATAATTATTATAGTAATGATTGGCTTAATCTGAGTGAATGTCAAAGCTAAGAAACACAGCCAAAATATCTATGATCTTGTAAAGAGACACTTATGCATAAGAAATAAAGTGCAAAAAACATTCAATCTACTCACAGGAAGTCCGTGTTTTCCTGGTAGCCCAATTTTTCCAGGGTTTCCTGAAATGCCTTCTGCTCCATGGTATCCTTGCACGCCTTTTGGCCCAGGTAGTCCTGGAAGTCCCTTGATAATTAAAAATTACTTGGATTATAGAGAGATGCTATACAGATATTTAAATGACAAATACTTTTATACTTATTAAGATAGGGGGTTACATTTTTAATACCCTGTCCCAGGATAAATTTTCCTATTTCCTGGATTCCTTAATAATTTACTATTTGGATACAACAGATTAGTCAACTGTCCCCTAAACAAAATGCCAAGCTAATCAGCAATTTACTTGGTAACCTTTTCTGCTTTAGTGTACTTACTTAGTATTTCTCATTGTGCCAGCCCATGGTTTATCCAGCTATGGAGAAAAGATCAGCCTTGTGCACCTGTCCGCATAGAATACAGGCTGACATTCATCATCTCTAAAACTTCATACTGTATTATTTCCCCAAGAAATAAATTAAGGCTCTTTAATTGCCGCTTTGAATTAGATAAATATATGACTGAATAAAGGTCTGAACATTTTGTTTCTATTCTTGAGGAACAAGATTTAATCTACAGGGATCTCTGATCTCAATGTGCTTATAATTTATATCACTTCTTTACTTTACTTGAGCCAACACAGGCCACTCAAATCAGGCCCTTGGCTAGGGGAGACCAGCAGAAAGCCTTTGCTAATAAGCTAGTCAACACATACTTTCCTGGCCAAAGAGGAAATGAATGGCTAAGGTAAAATTAAACTTTGTTTTATGATGAAAGGATTTGAAGTTTTTTTTTTTTTTTTTCCCTAAGACTTTCTGTTCTGTTTCCCAGGAAAATGAGAGGTCAAGTTCTCTCACTAAAATCCACGTCATGTCCTTTTAATCATGCTTGGAAATCTCCGACCTTTGTCACCATTCATTTAGTCATGACTCCAAGTTCCCTGTTTTTCAGTGGCTCATCATCAGACAGTAGTAGCATGAATTCACAGACAGGTCTCCATACACCGGAAAATAACATCCTTCAACTGCAGTGACTTCTATTTCAACACCAAGCTTGGTTTTGAGCTAATGGTCATATTTTGTTCCCTCTGTGTTCCAGCACGGGTTTAAACATTTTTTAAAGACACTGTGATTTATCCAACACTTGTCATAATTGGCTCCAAACTATTCTGCTCGCTAAAGTTGCCAATTCTATTTAGAAAAATAATGAAGATGAAGACAGCTTGTTACTTACAGGAATCCCAGGTTTCCCAGGAGGACCAGGAGCTCCTCTTTTCCCTTTAGGACCCTAAAGATGTGAAGCACTGTTGTCAATTGATTGCAATAAACAGAAGGCATAGAAAAGAACTCGAAGACCTGGATGCTACAAGCAAGTCCTTACACTCACTAGTCGGTTATCATTGGGATTGCTATTTAACTTTCCTGGGAGTCACTTTTTCATCTGTAAATGAGAGAATTTGACCAGATAATGGATGAATTTCCACCTGACCTCCAAAAAGAGCTATCCTTATGGCTCAGGATGGTAAAGAATCTGCCTGCAATGCAGGAGACCTGCATTTGATCCCTGGGTCAGGAAGATCCCCTGGAGAAGGAAATGTCAACCCATTCCAATATTCTTGCTTGGAGAATTCCATGGAAAGAGGAGCCTGGTGGTCTATAGTCCATAGTGTTGCAGAGTCAGACACGACTGAGCAATTAACTTTCAAAGATTAATAGTTCTAAAAAGAAACTGATTATTTAAATAAAAGTCCCCACTTGCAGGCAAGGCCTCTGTCTCCCTACTGAAATTGGTTAAGTACCTATTTAATTAATTCAGTGAGCATTCATTGGGGCTTCCCCAGTGGCTCAGTGGTAAAGGATGCACTGCAACGCAGGAGATGTGGGCTCTATCCCTGGGCTGGGAAGATCTCTGGAGAAGGAAATGCAACCCACTTCAGTATTCTTGCCTGGAAAATCCCATGGACAGAGGAGACTGGTGGACTACAGTGGATGGTGTTACAAAATAGTCAGACATGACTTTGCTATTTAGTGACAAAACAACAGCAACAAACATTCATTGACTATGAGGTACCAGGGACTCTGTTATGTGTTGGAGATGCAAAATTAAAGCTCCCGTTCCCAAGGCACTTAAAGTAGAGTGAGGGATATGAATCAATAACTTAAAATGTTCTATCTGGAAGTACAGAGAAGAACATACTTGTGAACAAAGAAAAGATATTTATTTCTCACAGAGCTGCTTGGTTTTCCATGTGTGAGATGTTTTAAATTATAATTGATCCCGCTGTAATGGTCTGCCAGGATAGTTAGAAATTTGCCCTTGCAAATCATGCCATTATTCTCATGCTATCCTAAAATTATCTTAAGAAGAAAAATGTGGAAAAGAGTGACCTAGTTCACAAATTAAAAAAAAGAAGCATATTGCCATTACCAGACATATTTTTCAGAAGTCAGAAGTTCTCAGAAACAAGATAATTTCACCAAAATGGGATGTTAAGTTATTAAAATCTGAAGATAGTTGTGCTAAAAAGTCAATTTGGCAATAATAACAAGATAAAAAATTTCAAAAGATGCTACATAGTCTGAAAACGAGCTTAAATGTTTTAAGAAGAGATAGTGTATGTAGTACCAGAGAATAAGGGCATTTTCTGTAAGAAATAAAAATCCCATTTTGTTAGAATTTGATGAAAGGGAACTATATTAATCAAGGGTTATACCTCCAAGTTCAAAAGCTATTTTACTTGCTTCAAAAAGTCATTAATATAAATTCCCCCTAAAGGTAAGAAAATGGGATAGTTGGTGAACTGGGTTTACTTGAAGTAGATACAATTTCTGAAACATATGATCTTATAATAAAACACAATGAAGAAATGAAATAGGCAAATAAATACTATTTTAAATATTGAAAACAATTTTGTTTTTGGTTGTTTTGAATAGCACAAAATAGTATATGAATTGTGATAATATTCAAATATGTTAACCAGTGTGCTTTTTTCTTCACCATATTTCTTTTTATAAAGTGAAAGATCTGTTCTAGACTTTTGATTTTTAAAATAAACTTTTTTTAGCTTATGAATTTCAAAATAGTCCTCTGAATCTCATGGTGGAGTAATAATTTGAAAAGAATGTATTTCCTTAACACAAAAATGCAACCCACTCCAGTATTTTGTGCAACCCACACAAAAACCTGATTTTCAAATATTAAAAGTCTCAAAAATCAAGGTAATAAAGATTTAAGTCATAAAATTTATGACATAAAGAACATATTTAGAAGAATTATAATAATGTAAGAGAAAGTTTTTCCTACCCAAGGGGATATAAAAAAATCTTCACTTTGGAGAAAAGGTAAAAAGAGAAGCAAGACTGAAGACACTGATGGGTATCTCTGAGAATAGACCTTGATGCCACCCCTCAAGTCCTGGGGCAGGTGGAGACCATAATACTGCAGACAAATGTGGGGACTTGGGTACAGAGATGATGGCTAGGGAGACTAGAGGCCTCATGAGATGTCCACTAAATTACACTGTCAGCAACAAGAGTAGAAATTTCTGCATGAGATGTCAGGCCAGGGGTCCTGAGAAAGTCTAAGTCCCTCAAGTACAGAGCATGGTGTGGGGAACAGCAGAATGTTATTTCCATGTGGCCGAGAACAGAAAGCACATGGCCCTTAGAGCCCTATCTGAGGAGGTCTTAAACCTGAGTTGAGAAAACAGTGTACAAATCAACAGGGATCAAAGAACTTCTGCTAGGAGGGCCAAGGTAGACACCAAAATAGTGGAACGACGGCCAACGGGGCTCCAAAGGGTTGATGCACATTTCAGTGGATGCTAGCATGAACAGATGATGGCTGAGACCCAATCTCACCTCCTATTCCTCTTCCCTACCATTGCCACCCGGAGTGTAACTGCATATTTGAAAAGAAAATGAATGGGAAAAACTCTCTAAATCAAATGCAAGACATCTGAGTGGACAGAGTTAAAGGCAATCAATTGACTAAATTTCCATCAATTAGGTTTCTACCACAGGCCAGGAAGGGCACTCAGAATGGAAGTTAAGTTCCATTACAAAGAACATAAAGTTATACTTTTAGTGTATCTGAGTTTATGGCTTATGGTTCAGATATGCTATACATATATATGAGTGCTTTATTCCAAACATTCAAATAACAAAATAAAAACAAAGACATTCATTGACCATCACAAATCAATTATGTTTTGGGGTGGCTATTATGTTGGGAATTATTTCAGAACAGGTAAATACTGTACTCTAAAATCTACATATATGGGTCTATCATTGTGAAAATTAGGTTTAGAATATTAGTTATTAATACTTGGATAGGTATGAGGAAGTAGCTCCCAACAGAATAACACTAAAGGAAAATTATGGCTATGCAAATTATTTTTAAAGAATACTTTTGCTACTTTTAATGGTAAAATTGTGGCAGAAACCTACCTACTGAACATAAAGTGTATAAAAAATAGCAAAATAGTCTCTGCTGTTTTTAGTTGCTCAATTCACGAACAGTTTCCTTATCACAATTATTGTCATCATAACTAAAATGAAGTAGGCCAGTTAGAGAAACCACAGACTTGCAATGGAAGTTTAAAATACATAAAGGTCAACAAAGTGTAAAAGACTGGTATTTTTTTGAATTTGTGCATTTAAAAAAGCCTTGAATTTGAAATTGCTAGGTATTCTTATAACTAAATTAAGAACCAAATATTACTAAACATTAATCCTACACAGAGGTGGTCTGTTCAGTAGGAAATTAAAGACTGGGCCAAAGACAAAGAAAAAATAGAAGGTGTTAGCAGGTGATTAATTCAGTTGGTGTCATAAAAAGGGTGGGAAATGTCACTCTTCCACCAATGCCCCAAATTAAAATGCAATAAAGCTAGAAGAATTCTATGCTGTTTTTAAACAACTTACTCATATTATTTTATTTAAATTTAAGTATCTCATAAATCAAACAGACTTTCCTGTTTTCATAATAGGAAAGGTGAATGAATTCATATATAGTCTTTAGAGTATATGCAGAATTGTGCTCTTTTGTCTGCCTAGCTTTGAAAAATAGAATGACCCTTTTGAAATCAGATCCATTTAAAACAGCTTTCAATTCACTGGAATTGTACCACTTCACAGACTACAAAAGTAGGTAATCTAATTAGATAACAGAAAATTTTAAATGTGCCATTACTATCCAAACACTCATTTGTTTTTTATTTAAATGAAACTGAAGAACAGTCATCTCAATATTTTGCTAGTTCTAACTTTGTTAGAGAGGGTAGCTTTAAAATACAAACACAGACTTAGAGAAGTAAGACTCATACTCTTTATAACCAAGAAATTTCAACTCACTAAAATCTGGAATTTTGTTTTGGGAAGAAAATAAAATTTTGGCTTGAGTCTCTGTATTTGAAAGCCATTATGGGACAGTTCACTACATTTGCATTATGAAAGTCTCTAAAAAAATGTAGTGGTTTGCAATTGGTTTTGACTTGACTTGCTCCAATTTTTTAAATAGTTGTCCACAGTTTCATATCTGAGAGACTAATGAATCAATCAGTTGGTTAAGTAAAATTAATATTTAATTTAATCTATAAAAGAAGGCTTCTGTGTAATAATGGGAGTCAAGAAATAAAGTTTCTAATGTTGGTTTTGTTGTAACCAGTTTTGTGATCTTAGTAACTCATAAATCTCTTTGGGACCTGAACTACTTCATTTGAAAGATGAGAGGGCTGTCCAAATGATTTTAAAGGGCCCTTTCCAAATCTAAAAAACACATTTAAAGCTTTACAGAAATAAGATGACGGCTATTCCCCAGGATCCATCTGGCTATTCAAAGTGACCCTAGTGAGTAACACAGTCAGTGGTATTTTGGTAACAACCGCTCCTATCTGAAATTGCATAAGGGTTTTTAGTGTAACCTCAGACTGTATGCCAGCATCGCCCATAGTGGGAAAAGAACTAGTTCTCACGGATTATACAGAATTTAAACCACGGCTCCTCAGCACTTTTCAGCTCTAATACCTGGGAGAGCTGACTGTATAGACTGGAGGTACAGTGATCTAGTGAGACTATTTTATTTTCATTGGTATAATTTTAACAGATATGAAGAAACAGCAGAAAAAAATTTCTTCTTTCTGAGATACATCAAAAAGTAAGAAGAAAACACCAAGAAAATGAAAGCACTAACTGTAAAGGATTAGAAATTTTAGGATCAAACCTTAGGAGAGCATTTTCATCCTTAGCTACTTAAAGCAAGAATAAGGAAGTCACATGAAAGCATTAGTAGTGTTCTAGGTTCACAGATTTTTCCACTGCTTTTTCCAATTTGAGTATTACAACTTCTAAGTGAATGAGACAGCTGTATTCTTTCTCCGCATTTTTTTTTTAATAAGGCTGAATGAAAAGTTGGGTAGTGATGAACTGATGCTACAAATTACAAATCCAGTTTTGTAAGGTTGTGTGTGTGTGTTCAGTTGCTCAGTCGTGTCCAGCTCTTATGACTCCATGAACTAGAACCCGCCAGGCTGCTCTGTCTGTGGGATTTTCTAGGCAAGAATACTGGGGTGGGTTGCCATTTCCTTCTCCATATGTAAGGCTGAAGCAACATCTATTCTGATACAGGGAAGGAGATGGCTAAATTCAGTAATAATAGATTTTTAGTTTGTTGATAACAAATACTTGACTTGTGCTATGGGAAAAAAAAAATCTTTTAAGCCAATTTTGACTCTGTGTCATATAGTCCAGTGATTTATACCCCTACTTTACTACAGCAACTATATAAGCATGACTGCTAAATTTTTACTTAGCAATACTGGCTTTAAGGCTAGTTTTTATTTCTACCTAAAACCCCAAAGAAGGACACTTAGTTTGGGATAAGTCTAGGCAATTTTCTAAAAGCCAGAATAGTCTGCTGGTAAAGGGAAATTTGGAGGGCAGTCAAAACACATAAATTAATCAATAATGATGCTTTAGCACAATTATTGACAAACACATTGTTTAGAGGCCCATGGTGATTCTTGTTCTGAAAGGGTGAATGATCATTTAAGTTATCACGAACAGCAACTCCCTGTGTCCTTGCTTTCTCAAGCCAGCAATACATTTCAAATTGTCTTAAATGATTGCAACTTACTTCAGATCCTCTCTCTCCTTTTAGTCCTTGTTCACCCTGGTCACCTGGCTCACCCTTTAACAGGAATCAAAACAGAAATCACATATAAAGTAGAGACCAAATAACATATGTTAATGTTACAAAGAATGCTTTCAAAACATACTGGGGGCCCTTGCTGTCCAGTGGCACCTCTTGGTCCTGGTATACCCACATGGCCCTATGAAGAGAAAAGGATATGTTATTAGAATACATAAAGACATACAACTTAGAGGATAGAGTAGCATCACTTAAAGTGGAAGTGAAGTTGCTCAGTTGTGTCCGACTGCATGGACTGTAAACCTGCTACACTGCTCTGTCTATGGGATTTTCCAGGCAAGAGAATACTGGAGTGGGTTGCCATTTCCTTCTCCAAGTATCACTTAAAGTGGTAGCAGAATGTTGCAAAATTCAATTTAAATATTATAGAGGTAATGATTCTCTCTTAGAAATAGTATAGAACATAACAGCCACTGGATATAATGATGACTAAGAAAGAGTATACAGGTTTTTTCCATATGGGTTAATATAGGTCTGCCAAAAGATGTCTACGCCCTAATCCTCAAAACCTGTGAATGTGATCTTATTTGGAGAAAAGGGTCTTTGCAGATATCATCAAGTTAAGTATTTCAGAAGGAGATTTTCCTGGACTCTTTGTGACCTTCTGGATTATAGCCCTCCAGGCTCTTCTGTCCATGGGATTATCCAGGTAAGAATCCTAGAGTGGGTTGCCATTTCCTCCTCTAGGAGATCTTCCCGACGTAGGGATCAAACCTGTATTTCTTGTGTTCTGCATTAGCAGGTGGGTTCTTTACCACAGCGCCACCTGAAGCTCTCTGGATTATCCATGTGGGCCCCAAATCCACTGACAGTTGTCCGTGTAAGAGACACAGAGAAAGAGAAGGATACAAATGAGAAGGTCATGTGAAGATGAGCAGAGGATAGAGTGATGCAGCCACAAGATGTTGTTAGCTACCAGAAGCTGGAAGAAGCAAGAAAGGTTATTTCCTAGAGCCAATAATGGGAGCACAGCCCTGTTCATATCTTGCTTTTGGATTTCTGGCTTCCAGGATCACAAGAGAATAAATTTCTGTTGTTTTAAGCCACCTGGTTTGTGGTAATTTGTTATGGCAGGCTCAGAAAACTAACACAGTAAATAACTAGTGAATAAAGAGTTTGAAAGCAAATGTCTTTTTCAATCTTTTTTCCAGTGTTCTATGGTCTCCACTTTTATAAATTAAGGTCACAGCCATTTAGATAGTAGATTTACTGAGTTGAAGACTGGTAGTTGTCACTGCATATGCCAAGACATCAAGTGACGCTGACTCTAGCAATCTGTCATCAGCCCAGTTCTCCTAGAAAGGAATGCTGACCTACCACATTTTTCAATTGTGCAAACAGAAACTAACAACAACCTAAGGGCATGTCAGGTAACAGTTATGCAGAAAGAATTCCACATGTAATCTCTTTTATCCCCTTCCCCACTGTCCACTTCAGATTCCTTTCTTCCTGTATATTACAGAAAGGATGACATAGGAAGGACAGGTATCAGGCTCATCTCCTTTCTGGGCTAGGAGAAGGGATTACCTAAGGCTAATGATTTATTCTCACAGCAAGATCAGTTGAAGTCTTTTTTGTTTGCATTTTGCAGCGTAAATGTTTATGGTTTTAAGATTCAACTTCCTGATAAAGTAAACAAATCCTGTTTAAGGGAGAGAACAGATGCAAGAGATAAAGGCTGATTTGGAAAGCTTTCTATAAATAGCACACAGTCATAACTAAAGAGAAAAGGATGACTACCAACAAACAACATGATTTACCAACAAAACATGACCAGGATCAGCAAGTAACAGAATCAGGTCAGCCAAGGGGGAGTTTCATTCAAGTAAATACAACTATTGTAGGTCACTTATAAAGCCAGCTCAGGAGAGAAGCAATTGGTGAAGAGTTGGGATTACAAAGTGAACTAAGTGTAACCATACTGAGTCAACTACAAAACTCCAAAACATCATGGTCTATCATGGCTTTGTCACCATTCTAGCTGCAGTTTTACAGAGACCTTTTTAGAATGATCAAAGAAGAAGCAATTGCCTCTTATAGGGTTTGTGATGTTTGGATGCAAACCTTAGGAAAAACAAACTTGTTTACTAGGAGCTCCACTATAGTTCCTTTGGCTCTTTCCATCCCAACAAAAACTGACAAATTATTTTTCTACGGTGGTAAGAATTAAATACGCTGCAGTAAATATTATTATGAAGTTATGTGGGCAAGATTACGGGAAGTGATTGATTTTTTTTCTGGTGATGTTAGTAGTGGGAGGGGTTGGATGATCAAAGGGAGCCTGGAGACGATTTTATATGGAAAGTGATGATTATATATGATGATGATTATAAAATCATAAGAGATGGTGTTATATGGGAAGCTGAAGTTTAAAGGATGAGTTTTCCAGGCGGTAAAGAAAAAGGAAGGCATTCTGCAGAGGAATAGCATGGGAGAATGAATGGAGATTCATCTAACACAACATGTTAAGTGGAGAATGGATTTAAAAGAGCTGTGACTGTGGATAGTGAGTCTGGTTAGTGAGCTGTTAAAAGAATTCAGGCAAAACATGATGAAACCCTAAAGTAGGGCAAAGTGGATAGACTCCAGAGATACATAAAAGGTCAAAAGAAGTGGCCAGTTGAAGTTGAGAGATGAGAGGATAGAGAGAGGGGAGAATGAGGAGGGAGAGATGAGAGAAAAGAGAAAGCAAGAGACAGAGAAAAGAGAAAGCAAGAGACAGCGAAAAAAAGACAGAGAGAGATAGAAAGAGGGAAGATTAGTTTACTAGACATCTGGATGTCTGCTGGTACTATTCACTGAATTAAAGACATAAAAAGAGGAGGATCAGATTTGGACTGGGATATGATGAGTCTGAGGTACCTGTGATGCTGTCTAGTAGCTATTTGGATGTGTATATCTAATGTTAAGAACTGAAGACCTAGTGAGGATAGGATTAGTAGTCCTTTTATTGTATGCGAAAAATTCTATGATCTTTGCCAAACCAAAGTAAAAAGGAGTTTAAGGTAGAACATAATTTATTCAACTTATTTCTAGGATTTTGTCTCATATAAGTTTAGGTTGACTTAATTTTAGGTATTTATGTGTTTCTGCTACACTTTTAAAAAGTGAATATTAACAGTATAATGTTCTTATTCATACCATGTCCTCTGGCTCTCTATCAAGCCTCAAGTGAATTTATCTTGACATACATGATGTGTAGTTTTCTGGATGGCAAATATTTTACTATATCTGCTTTGATACTGATTAAATATTCTTAATTTTTATATGTGATGTCCATGGAGTCAAAGACTGTGTGTTGAGTGCTCCATGTTACATTCAGGGCTCCTTCCTGGTCCATGGAAGACACTAAAATAAATGCTGAATGAGAAGACATTTAATTATATGTAACACATAAAACACATCACATATAGCGATGACTAGTATATATTTATTGATAATAATGAACAAGATACTTGACTTTTGTGATTCTCAGTTTCTTCAAGAGGAAAAAAAGAACAAAGGATGGTGATAAGGGTTTCAAAATGTCTTTCGTTGTTCATAGCCAGACGAAAGCAAAATATTCATTATCCATTCCATCTTTTTTCTCCAACAGGAAAATCATGAGTTTATCATAACTTTAAGAATATTTGTGGTGCTCGCTTCAGCAGCACATATACTAAAATTGGAACAATACAGAGAAGATTAGCATGGCCCCTGCGCAAGGATGACATGCAGATTCGTGAAGCGCTCCATATTTTTCCAGCTGCAGATCAAAGAGGATGCTGGCCATTAAGAGGTGCAAGCATTTTGAACTCGGAGGAGATAAGAAGAGAAAGGGTCAAGTGATCCAGTTCTGAGCGTTGGGATTCTTTTGTTCTTATGTTTCGAGAGGAAAATGTTGAAATTATAGAAAAATTGCCTGAATGAGAATAAATACAGTGATATCCTTACTAAAAAAAAAAAAAAAGAATATTTGTGAATATAAAAGTGTTTTTAAAAGCTTGGTGATTATTCAACCATAAAAAGGAATGAAGTACTGACATATTTTACAACATGGATGAATCTTGAAAACACTGTGTAAAGTGAAAGAAGCCAGACACAAAAGGCTATATATTTTATGATCCCAATTATATGAAAGATACAGAATAGATAATTTGGTAGAGATAGAAAGCAGAGTAGTGGTTTCCAGAGGTTGGGAGAAGTAGAATGACTATTTAACAAGCACAGGGTTTCTTTTTTGGGGTGATGAAAATGTTCTAGAGCTAGGCAATGTGTGATGATTGTACAATATTGCCAATATAGTAAATGTCTCTAAATTATACCATTTTAAAATGGTTAAAACGGTAAATTTTATGCTATGTGCATTTGAGCACAATTGAAAAAAGCTTATAATAATTCTGACCATCTGTTTACTAGAGTGAAATGTTTATGTCTACAATGCCCATAAAGCAATCATTTAAAAGTATCATGTAAGGATATAACAGAATAATCTAACTATGAATAAAGCATAGTTCCACTGTTGAATTGAACATGTGCTTGGAAAAATGTAGCAGGGTACAAGTGTGGGTATTTCATGACTTTGAGATGTTTAAGTAATGAAGTTATTGTGACTGACTGGCACTCAATGACTTTTTAAAATAGATCTATCAACAAATGACAAAATGACTCTTAAAGCCTAAGAAACAAGATGGAATAAGACACACAAGAAAATGTATATCACATTAAGTGGTAAAACATCCATGACTGAAGACTTCATCAGCACTCTATGGACTAAAGAAGAACCAGATTCTACAGCCATCCTAGGGAAAAACTTTCCTCTGATGAAGGATTTCTGAAGAATGTAGGGACTATCCAGAAAAACAGGGGCAGGATTTTTCTTCTCCCAGCCAGGTGAAGAAGAGATTCTTTCCCTTCCAACAGAATAATTAGCTGTTTTTTTTTGCCATGCTGATAGTTACTGGTTGTAGTTGGTACAAGTCAAAAGAAGACATTATAAGAACCTGATTTTCCTAAGAACGTGTAGAGAAGTTAGCACAGAAAAAGTTAAAGAAGTTTAAGGAGCTCCTCAAATTATGCTGAAAGCTGTGAGTTGGCTTCTCAACCCAAAGAAAAGCTAATTTCAAGTAAAGGAGAAGGGGGGCGATAGAGGATGAGATGGTTGGATGGCACTGTTGACTCAATGGACATGAGTTTGAGCAAACTCTGGGAGATAGTGAAGGACAGGGAAGTCTGGTGTGCTGCAGTCCATGGGGGTCTCAGACAGTTGGACAGGACTTATGACTGAACATATTATATACTATTATGTACAGGGCTTAAAAAAACATTATACAAGAAAGAAAGAAGTCATATTCAAACTGAGGAGCTAGATATCTACACATTAAAAACAATTAGCAAAAATGATAGTAGCAGAAGATTGTAAAATATTTGTATTGAATGACTTCTATAACCAATAAATACTATGGGACTAGATTAGAGGGAAAGCTTGCTGCTAGACAGTAGAAAAGGGAGTATCAACTAGATTATAAAGGGTAGACAGGATTTATGTAAGTAATGATTATGTAATTTTGTGAGCAAGCAGATAATGTTGTGAGCAAAGGAAAAAGATAGGAGGTATAGGCAGAGAGTTAACAAATGACCATTTTATTTGGTATATGACATTATAAACAGAAATGGAAGATATATATATATTTTATTTAGTATATGACATTAGTATATATATTTTATTTAGTATATGACATTATAAGCAGAAATGGAAGAGATACAGGGCAGGAATACAGAACATCCTCAACACAAATATGCTAATAAATAATGACACTGAATAAATTCTCTCCATAGTCAAATATAATTTGAGCAATACAGCTTGTCTCTAAAAATCTTTTTAAGAATAGAAGAGGATAAGAATTGACATACGAATATAATGGTGTTTATCCACTTGACAAGTCTCTAATGAACTTCTACTATATAGTAGGAAATTTGTGTTCTCAAAGTTGGGGATATAATGATGAAAAACACGTCAGTCTTATTCTCATGGATATTATATCTCATGGATATATTTTCTTAGGGGATGTAGACAATAGACAAAAAATGAGTGTATAAAAAGGTAGTAAGATAATTTGGATAACATTAAATGCCATAAAATAAATAGAGTAATAAGATATAAAGTGTAACTCCATGGCTGATTCATGTCAATGTATGACAAAACCCACTACAATACTGTAAAGTAATTAGCCTCCAACTAATATAAATAAATGATAAAAAAAATAAAGTGGCAGTTTGCAATAAAAAAAAAAGAACAAGAAGATATAAAGTGGTGGATAGAAAGGGCAGTTAGAGAAGCCCTCTCAAAAGTAATATTTCAGGTGAGATCTGAATGATGAGACAAAGCAGCAATGGAAGGAGATGAAGATAATTTTAGAAAGAAGGAACAGGAAATACAAAGAGCTTCTTCTAGGATCAAAAATATAAGATATTACTAATTATCTCAATGATGCTTATTTTCATTTGCAACTGAGCAGAACCACAGAGAAACCTATGCATATTCAGAAGAAAGGTGTGAAATTTATAGGAATTACCTTATATCCCTCTGCTCCAGGCTCTCCTCTCTCTCCTTGTTCTCCCATTGGACCCTAGAGAGACCACACGCAGAAACAATCAATGTATCTAAGTATTTGAGAACACAGATGAAATAGTTAATGTGGAATATTTTTTTCTGTAAAAATATGAAATCAAATGTACAATAACTTGTTTAGTTCCACTCTCAGACAGTAAAGAATCTGCCTCCATGTGGGAGACCCAGGTTCAATCCCTGGGTTGGGAAGATCTCCTGGAGAAGGGAATGGCTACCCACTTCAGTATTCTTGCCTGGAGAATTCCATGGAGAGAGGAGCCTGGAGGGCTATAGTCCACGGGATCACAGAGTCAGAAATGACTGAGAGATGAACACTCTTCACTCTCACCGTCAGATAATTTCAGAGGATTGAATTTCAACCAAATGAAGAACACCATAAACACTGGTTATTTAAAGACAATCTCAGAATTATTCTGCTAGAAAAAATACTGACAAAATGAAGTCCAAGGTAACAATGTGAATTTTCAGATGAGTAAAGTATGTTATAAAAGATATCAAAATAACTTGCATTTGTACATTAAAATGATTGAAAACAATTTAAGCAGGACCACTCAGCCATTAATTAAGTGATTAATGCACTTAATCAATTGCTTAATTGGAAAGTATTATATTTCATCACATTTTTAATTAAGTGATTAATGCACTTAATCAATTGCATTAATTGGAAAATATTATATTTCATCACCTTTTAAAAAGTATCTAAGAGCTAATTCTACTTTATCATTCTTTATTAGAAATTATATTGTCTATTCTTTAATCTGCAAAATCTTAAATATTAAGATATAAATTGACCTAAAGAAATTACACTTACTCATTTTAATTCTTGAGGCAGAAACGAAGAAACTGGTGAAAGTCACTCAGTCGTGTCTGACTCTTTGTGACCCCATGGACAATACAGTCCATGGAATTCTCCAGGCCAGAATACTGGAGTGGGTAGCCTTTTCCCTCTCCAGGGGATCCTCCCAACCCAGGGATTGAACCTAGCTCTCCCATGTTGCAGGTGAATTCTTTACCAGCTAAGCCACAAGGGAAGCCCAAGAATACTGGAGTGGGTAGCCTATCCCTTCTCCAGTGGATCTTCCTGATTCAGGAATCGAACCAGGGTTTCCTGCATTGCAGGTGGATTCTTTACCAACTGAGCTATCAGGGAAGCCCTACTTTTAATTTTTCTGAACATTTCTAATATAAAATCCTTTGATATGATAAGCAGTTCAAAGTACTTATTCTAAAATGCACTTGAAAAGCCAATTATCACATATTAGGACCAACTATCTGAAAAAAAGCTCAAAAGAAATTATCATCAGAACCATAACACTTATTAAGGATAAATAGCTTACATCGATGTGAATAAAGATATTAGACATAACATAAAGACAAAAATCTCTGACTTTGATTTAATTATTTAGAATATTCTTGGTCTAATTTTCATACCTGTCTCAAGTCTACTAATAAAATGACCATTATTATGCTAGCTGTATAATAAATTTATTATATTTCAGTGACATTCTTTGAACATGGAATATGTGAATCTGGGGGAAAAGAGCACTACTGTATTCTACTTGCCCATATTTTTCTTTGAACTTTTAAATATCTGTACTGTTTCCATATTATTGTCTCTCAGAGGTTTAGAGTCATTTAGCATGTATTTGATACAGAATTTTTAAAGACATCATTCCGTCTCTTAACAATTTACTTCTTAAATTTATATAAGTTATGGCGTAGCTTGTAATTCCTTTTTTTCAAATGAGGTATAGCTGATGTACAATATTATGTAAGTTTTTAGGTGCACAACATAGTGATTCACAATTTTAAAGGTTGTACTTAATTTACAGTTAAAACACTGACTATATTCCCTGTGTTGTGCAATATATCCTTGTAGCTTATTTAATACACAGTAGTTTGTACCTTTTATTGACCAGGGGATCTTTGCAGAAACTAATACCTGTGAATACTGAAATGTATCTGGTCAATAATAGGTAACAAAAGATAATTAAAGGTTTACTGAACATGGCCCCACCAATCAAACAAGACCCAGTTTCCCCCCAGTCAGTCTCTCCCATCAGGAAGCTTCCATAAGCCTCTTATCCTTCTCCATCAGAGGGCAGACAGATTGAAAACCACAATCACAAAAAACTAACCAATCTGATCCCATGTACCACAGCCTTGTCTAACTTGATGAAACCATGAGCCATGTCATGTAGGGCCACCCAAGACTGATGGGTAATTGTGGAGAATTCTGACAAAACATGGCCCACTGGAGAAGGGAATGGCAAAACACTTCAGTATTCTTGCCTTGAGAAACCCATGAGCAGTATGAAAAGGCAAAAAGATAGGACACTGAAAGATGAACTCCCAGGTCGGTAGGGGTCCAATATGCTACAGGACATCAGTGGAGAAAAAAACTCCAGAAAGAATGAGGAGAGGGAGCTAAAGCAAAAACAACACCCAGTTGTGGATGTGACTGGTGATGGAAGTAAAGTCTGATGCTGTAAGCAATATTGCATAGGAACCTGGGATGTTAGGTTCATGAATCAAGGCAAATTGGAAGTGGTCAAACAGGAGGTGGCAAAAGTGAACATCGACATTTTCGAAATCAGCAAACTAAAATGGACTGGATGGGTGAATTTAACTCAGATGACCATTACATCTACTACTGTGGGCAAGAATCCCTTAGAAGAAGAAATGGAGTAGCCATCATAGTCAACAAAAGAGTCTGAAATTCAGTACTTGAATACAATCTAAAAACTGACAGAATGATCTCTGTTCATTTCCAAGGCAAACCACTCAATATCACAGTAATCCAAGTCTGTGCCCCGAAGAGTAATGCTGAGGAAGCTGAAGTTGAACGGTTCTATGAAGACCTACAAGATGTTCTAGCACTAACACCTTGAAAAGATGTCCTTTTCATTATAGGGGGCTGGAATGCAAAAGTAGGAAGTCAAGAAACACCTGGAGTAACAGGCAAATTGGCCTTGGAGTACAGAGTGAAGCAGGGCAAAGGCTAACAGAGTTTTGCCAAAAGAACGCACTGGTCATAGCAGACACCCTCTTCCAACAAAACAAGAGAAGACTCTACACATGGACATCACCAGATGGTCAACACCGAAGTCAGATTGATTATATTCTTTGCAGCCAAAGATGGAGAAGCTCTATACAGTCAGCAAAACAAGACCGGGAGCTGACTGTGGCTCAGATCATGAACTTATTGCCAAATTCAGACTTAAACTGAAGAAAGTAGGGAAAACCACTAGACCATTCTGATATGACCTAAGTCAAATCCCTTACAATTATACAGTGGGAATGATGAATAGATTCAAGAGATCAGATCTGATAGACAGAGTGCCTGAAGAACTATGGAAGGAGGTTCATGACATTGTATAGGAGGCAGTGATCAACACCATCCCCAAGAAAAAGAAATATAAAAAGGCAAAATGGCTGTCTAAGGAGGCCTTAATAATACCTGTGAAAAGAAGAGAAGCAAAAGGCAAAGGAGAAAAGGAAATATATACCCATTTGAATGCAGACTTCCAAAGAATAGCAAGGAGAAATGAGAAAGCCTTCCTCAGTGATCAGTGCAAAGAAATAGAGAAAACAACTGAATGGGAAAGACTAGAGATCTCTTCAAGAAAATTAGAGATACCAAGGGAACAGTTCACGCAAAGATGGGCACAATAAAGGAAAGAAATGTTATGGACCTAACAGAAGCAGAAGATATTAAGAAGAGGTGGCAAGAATACACAGAAGAACTATACAAAAAAAATTTCACAGCCCAGATAATCACAATGTTGCGATCACTCACCTAGAGCCAGACATCCTAAAATGTGAAGTCAAATGGGCCTTAGGAAGCATCACTACAAATAAAGCTAGTGGAGGTGATGGATATTCGGTTGATCTATTTCAAATCCTAAAAGATGATGCTGTAAAAGTGCTATACTCAGTATGCCAACAAATTTGGAAAACTCAGCAGTGGCCACAGGACTGGAAAAGGTCAGTTTTCATTCTAATCCCAAAGAAAGCCAATGCCAAAGAACATTCAAACTACTGCAAAATTGCACTCATCTCACACGCTAGGCAAGTAATGCTCAAAATTCCCCAAGCCAGGCTTCAACAGTACATGAACTGTGAACTTCCAGATGTTCAAGCTGGATTTAGAAAAGACAGAGGAACCAGAGATCAAAATGCCAACATCCGTTGGATCATCAAAAAAGCAAGAGAGTTCCAGAAAAACATCAATTTCTGCTTTACTGTCTATGCCAAAGCCTTTGACTATGTGGATCACAACAAACTGTGGAAAATTCTGAAAGAGATGGGAATACCAGACCACCTGACCTGCCTCATGAGAAATCTGTATGCAGGTCAAGAAGCAACAGTTAGAACTGGACATGGAACAACAGACTGGTTCCAAATCCAGAAAGGAGTATGTCAAGGCTATATATTGTTACCCTGCTTATTTAACTTATATGCAGAGTACATCATGAGAAATGCTGGACTGGATGAACAATAAGCTGGAATCAAGACTGCCAGGAGAGATATCAATAACTGCAGATTTGCAGATGACACCACCCTTAGGGCAGAAAGCAAAGAAGAACTAAAGAACCTCTCAATGAAAGGGAAAGTGGAGAGTGAAAAAGTTGGTTTAAACTCAACATTCAGAAAACAGATCATGGCATCTGGTCCCATCACTTCATGGTAAATAGATGGGGAAACAATGGAAACAGTGACAGACTTTATTTTGGGGGGCTCTAAAATCACTGCAGATGATTACTGCAGCCAGGAAATTAAAAGACGCTTTCTCCTTGGAAGAAAAGTTACAACCAACCTAGACAGCATATTAAAAAGCAAAGACATTACTTTGCTGGCAAAATTCCATCTAGTCAAAGCTTTGGTTTTTCCAGTAGTCATGTATGGATGTGAGAGTTGGACTATAAAGAAAGCTGAGCGCTGAAGAATTGATGCTTTTGAACTGTGGTGTTGGAGAAGACTCTTGAGACTTGGACTGCCAGGAGATCCAACCAGTCCATCCTAAAGGAAATTAGTACTGAGTATTCATTGTAAGGACTGATGCTGAAGCTGAAACTCCAATACTTTGACCACCTGATCTGAAGAGCTGACTCATTTGAAAAGACCCTGATGCTGCGAAAGATTGAAGGTAGGAGGAGAAGGGGACGACAGAGGATGAGATGGTTAGATGGCATCACTGACTCAATGGACATGAGTTTGAGTAAACTGCAGGAGTTGGTGATGGACAGGGAGACCTGGTGTGCTGCAATCCATGGGGTTGCAAAGAGTCAGACAGTACTGAGCAACTGAACTGAACTGACCTGAACAAAAGATGTATTAGTATGTCTCCCATCAGTAAACTGTTAATCCCTTAACCTTATGTTGCCTCTCCCTCATTCTCCCTCTGCAGTATTAACCACTAGTTTGTTCTCTATATCTGTGAGTCTGCTTCTTTTTTGTTATATTTACTGCTTCATTTTTTAGATTCTATATACGTGATATCACATAGTATTTTTATTTCTCTGTCTGATTTATTTCACTTAGCAAAATTATCTCTTAGTCTACCCATATTGTGGTAAATGAGTAGTATTGTATATATTTTGGGGTATATGTGTGTGTGTGTGCATATATATATATATGACTACATCTTCTTCATTCATTCATCTGTGGATGGACGTTTAAGCTGATTTCATATCTTGGTAAACATTGCTGCTAAGCAATTGGGGTGCATATATCTTTTCTGATTACTGTTTTTGTTTTCTGAATATATACCCAGGAATGGAATTGATGGGTCATAAGGCAGTTCTATTTTAGTTGTTTGAAAAACCTCATAGTGTTTTGCATATAGATGCACCAATTTATATTTCTACCAACAGTGCACAGGGTTCCCTTTTCTCTACCACCTCACCAACATTTGTAATTTGTGGTCTTTTTGATGACAGCCATCTAGGTGTGAGGTGATTATCTCATTGTGGTTTTAATTTGCATTTCTCTGATGATTAACAATGTCGAGTATCTTCATGTGCCTGGCTGGCCATCTGTATGTTTTCTTTGGAAAAATGTCTATACAGGTCTTCTGCCCATTTTTTAAATTGGATTTTTTTTTTTTGCTATTGAAATGTATATGAAATGTATGAAATGTTTATATATTTTGGATATTAGTCCCTTAGTGGTCATATCATTTGCAAGAATTTTCTTCCATTCAGTAGGTGTCTTTTCATTTTTTGTTGATTTCTGATAATAAAATTTTATATATTCTTATAGATGAGTTTGCCTCTGTGTGAGATTGGTTTGATTTACTTGGAAAAACTCTAGAATTTTTCCTATTTCTAAAACAGAGTATACTTTTCAATGATTTCCAAAGAGTCAGGTCAAAATATTGGGGAGTGACTGTATATTCTGATTCTTCTGTTTTAGGATTCTTTTATCTTATATGACATCATGTGAAATATGGAAAATTTAACCAATTATATTTATTTTTGTGAACCAGGCATTTTTGCACTATTCATTTGATTTACATATATCCTGCACACTGTTTTAATTAAGTATGATCATAGAGACAGTTATTCAGATAATCAAAGATAGAAGAGCTACTTTTAAAAAATCATGGTTACAGCTAGTCTTTAAAATGCTTAATTAGAAGGTTACAGATTCATAATCTTTAAAGAATATTGGTTCTAATAACTAGTTAGATGAATTTTGAAATCATTTGGTAACTGTGTATAAACAACTATAAACAAGGACACAGATCATATTTTTAAACATACTTTAGATATGAATCTGAATTTGATGTATAAATATCTGCCCTAAATGCCTAGAGTATGTAATATTTTGTTAAGTTGTTATCATGAATTTAACACTGGAAATTAGATTTGAAAGTTCCAATAATAAACTTCTATATAATGCTAAGGATCTTGACCTGTATATAAACAATTTTCCTATTTAGATTATATGACTGCAAGTACTGCTGTCATATAAAACCATGTTACAAAACTAAAAACAAAAACAAAAAAACTTCTTAAAAAGATGTAACTGTTGCTATGAATCTATTGTATGAACTGCTTTTTATCTTAAAACATCAAAATAATTTTAGAAAAAAACTTACTGGTTCACCTCGAGGCCCAGGTGGTCCTAGGATTGTATTATCTTCTCCTGGATAACCCTACAATGAAGATGATTTATAAATAAAGTTAAATTAATGAAATAAATTAAAAAAAATTAAGCCTATTATTTCGAATAGATTATAAAATATGCAATCTGGTTTTATCTTTTTTAAATGAAAAATTTTTATCTACAAAACTTAGCACATGATACTTTATCCACAGTTGTAATTCATATATCGTTCTCTTTGGAAGTGTCAATCTCCTGTAGTTACATAAAAAGCAGCTTACTAATTTTCTCAGTGTCAGTTTTCCAACAATATTACAAATCAAGAGGACTACTGTTGTAGTTATTCTTAATTCATAAAAATTTGACCATAAATGTACTATAGTTAGTCATTTAATCTAGAGTCTCACAATCTCTTTCAATAAGCAAATTAATGTTAGTTTTACAGATTGCAAAGTACTGTAACATATATCGTTTCACCTCAATCTTGAAACTATCCATCAAAGACTTCTTAATTATTTTAAATATTTCTCCCTTTATATTTATTTTTCTTCTAGAATCTACAATACTTCCCAAGTTGAAAAGTACTTCTTTTATTATTTGAAAATGTTTCCAGCATACTTTCAGAAAGAACACATGAATTCAGTGTTTACTTTTAGGATTAAAAAGTCGATATAAACATACACACCTTTTCTCCTTTAGGTCCTGGCAACCCAGAAAGTCCTGGTTGACCTTCATGGCCCTAAGAGGACAAGTAAGTAGAAAATCTCCATATCATTAGTATGTGTTCTACATAATACTATCATGGCTATGCCATTAGATATTGCACTAATTCTGAAAGAAAAATAGGATTCACTGTATAGGAGCCTGATGTCTAAATATGCTAGAAAGCATTATCAGGAGATTTCATCTGAATTTGTATATTTGGGATGACATCTTTATGTAATGTTTTTATGCAAATATACATCTCTTATTTCCAATTAGAAATGCTTACCCTATATCCTAGAATTCCAGGTTCTCCAGCAGGTCCCATTAATCCTAAATGTCCCTAAAAAACAAAGCAAACATTAAAAAGAAAACAGACAATTGTTTAAATTGTTAAACCTGCATTTTTGTTATTTAAAACTTAGACTTTTCAAAATATGAAATTCTATCTAGTCTGAAATGGGAAAACAAAAAGTAATTCTCCAACCTGCATCTTATTTTACTTCTGAACCATATAAGTCCCACAAAAATATGTTTCTTTGGTTTATTTCTGGTATGAACATCTTTAATCTTATTAAAAGAAATACTTTCAGTTGCCAGAATGCTGCAAACTTCCAGCAAATTCTTGGAAATGTAGTTTGCATTTGTCAAAGTTTGTGGTATTTGCACATCACTAAATATTAGGGAGTGAATTCTGATAGTTTTTAGTATTGTCATGATAGGATCGAGAACTCTGTACTCATTCATAGCCTCAGGTGCTTTGATGAACATGATTTCAACTCTGGTCAAAGCTGTTAAAAGAGAATTGGTTGACAACTTATGTATAATATTCACCTCTATTATTTACACTTATTATCAATTTATACAGATGAGGAAATCATAAGTTAAAGGCAAATCAGTAAATGTTCCTAAACTACTGAGAAGATGACAACTGAAAAAAAGCAAAAATAATACTCTTAAAAATATCCCTTACTTTTATATTATTAAAAAGTCTTCACACCAACTCTTCTGTTTGAGTCTCAAAATAAATAGGAGATAAGGAAACAAAGGCACAGCCAAATGCCACACCAGCCAGAAGTTCTAAGCAATGAAATAAGTAAGGATAATAAATAATAAATATGAGGAGGTGATACAATTATTTACCTAAGAAATCCTTAGAATTATTAAAATTCACTGAAATAAATATAAATTTTTAAAAAAAGATTTCTTACACAGACCAGTAAGAAGATGAACTAGAAAAAATGACTACCCTAAAAACAGGAAAATCTGTAAGAAACTAACAATACACCTAATAAGAAAGGTGTAAGAACAGAGATAAAGGAAATAACAAAGCTTAATTGAAGGATATAGAAGATATAAGTAAATAAAAAGATACATGCTAATCATTTATAGAATGAATATGGTTAATTCTATTTCTATGAATGATTCAATATTAAAGGAACTTGCAGAATTGTATTTTAAAGTTCAAACAAAAAACAGACAAAATCATAGTAAGAGCCGAGATTTTCAGAAAAATAAATTATGACATATTTGCCCTTTTAGATCTCAAAAGATACTGTAATGATGTAACAATTTAAATGGTGTGGTACCTAGTAATTAATTAAAAAATTGAGAAAAGAAAATAGAGAAAATGAAAACAGACCATTATTTGAGAGTAGCTTACAGTAAGGGTAGCATTTCAGAAAACTGGAAAATAGATTTATTAAATAGCATTGAGACAACTGGCTAAGAACATGGAAAAAAAAATTAGCCCCTTACAACTTATAGCAAAATAAACTCCATATGCTTTAACAGGGTTAAGGGTAACAATATTAGGAAAAGGATATGAATGAATACTTTTATATACTTAATGTAAAGAAGTCATTTCTAATGAACAAGCAAAACCTAGACTGTTAACAGTAAGACTGACAAATTTGATTGTAATAATTAAAACCTCTGTCCAGTGAAAGATAGTGTAAACAAGATAAATGATAGAAAGGGAAATAGATTTGTAATATATTTGCAACATATTTAACAAAAATATATTATCTAAACTATATAAGGTGTTCTTGCAATTAAGAAAAAGAAAACAGTCTAATAGAAAAATATGTAAAGTACATATGAACAGGCAACTTTCAGGGCAAAAAGTACAATTTATTTAGTTGCCAAGCAAGAAAATGTAAGAAAGAAAATGAGACATACTATTTCATTTATCAGATTAGCAAACATCAAAAGGATTAATATGAAGTATTCCCATAAAAGACTCAAATGTAAGACTTGAAACCATATATTTCTAGAAGAAAACACAGACTGTATGCTCTTTGATATTGGTCTAGGAAATAATTTTTTTATATCTCTCCTCAGGTAAAATAAACAAAAGGAAAAATAAGTAGACAATATCAAACAAAATAGCTTTTACACAGCCAAAGAAACTATCAATAAAGCAAAAGGTCACCTACTGAATGGGAGAAGATATTTGCAAACAATGAATCTGATAAGGGGTTAATATCTAAATATAAAAATAATTCATACAACTCAACATCAAAAAAACAAACAACCCAATTTAAAAATGGGCATAGGCAGCCAACAGGCACATGGAAAGATGCCCAACATCACTAATCATCAGGGAAATGCAAATCAAAACCACAATGAGATATCATCTCATAGCTATTAGAACGGCTATTATAAAAAAGACAACAAATATCAAGTGTTGGGAAGGATGTGGAGAAAAGGGAACCCTCGTTCACTGTTGGTGGGAATATAAATTGGTGCACCATTATGGAGAACAGTATGCAGGCTCCTCAAAAAATTAAAATTAAAAACAGAACTACCATATGATCCAGCAATTCTACTCTTGGATATCACATTATATACCATTTTTTAATGCATAGGACATAGAAGAAAAATATTAGCAATTTAAATAAAAGGAAGTACATACTACCTGACTTAGTAAGATGACAGTAAGGAATGGAAGATTTAAAATGAGGCTGAGGAGTCTTAGAATTGAGAGTAAGTGATAGAGGAGATAACGGATAGAGAATTGCATTTAGAACATCAGAGAGCTTCAACAAGTTCCCCTTCAAAGAGTTCCCCATCAAAGACTGCATTTTGATACTCCAGTCTAAACAATATATCCCTTCATGTGATTTTCCCCTACAATGAGGCTAAGGAAAACCTTCCTCAGACAACAAATGGATTATTCACTGCTCTCCAGAAGGCCTTGGTGAAAAGCTACATGTGACATTTAAATGGTGACTAGGAAATACATATAGATTTGATAAATAAGTTTATGCAATACTCAAAAGACTAAACTGGATAATCTCTTAAATATTTTGCATCTCTTTCTTCTGTGACTTTTTGAACAAGTTAAAATATGTTAGCAACATAATTTTGATATTACAGTTTCAAAAGTATCATGCTATCTTTGCTTCCAATATCATGTACAATTCATACAAAAGATTAAAAATCAGTAGCTGTTTCGGAGACACCACAGCTGGTTAGAAAGATATAATCTCTAGATAAGCATGAGAGTTTAAGCATATAAAGAAAACCCATTTTTGAGTAATCTAATTTTCAAAGCAATTTGTCAACCATGACGGCAAAATTTTATGCAGATATTAAATCCTGATTTCAAGTACAACTGTATAAACTTTCCTACTTAGGTTGGGAGTTATAATCTGATTTTTTAAAATCTTATTTCATATTTTATTTCCATTTTGAGATTTTTTTTCCCCTTTCCTTTTTCATGTCCAGAAACCACTAAGCCATTTAAGTACTGTGGAATGCTTACAATTCTCCATATCCCATGGAGGTAGATTATTTTCAATGGAACTTTTGCTTTCTCTGTAAAATTAATCAAGAGATGAAGCTTTTATACATGGATACATTTCTTTCCATCCACAGTGAACTGAGTTTTGGAGACAAATCAGATACTGACCGCAGCACCTCGAGTTCCTCTGGCACCCTTCAGACCACTTTCCCCAGTTTGTCCAGGAGCGCCTCTGTTTCCAGTTTCTCCTGCAGGCCCCATCTGTCCTTTATCGCCCTGCAGATGCCATTAGTAAGAGAGAAAAGTAAGAAAAAACCTTATACTTAAATTACTCAACTACATCATATACCTGAATGGCTCCAGAGGATATTCTGTAGGCAAAATTCTATAAACAGTAACTTTGTTTTAACTTACTAGTACTACAGACCACCACTGATGATAACAACATACCATCACCACCTGGGTTACCTTAAAAATGTAATTAAAAGCAATTTTGGAAAAAAGAATACAAACATTTTTGCACAAATAAGCAGGGAAGTTTGGTGCTCATGCTGAATTACAAATAACCAAGTTTTTTATTCATGAAACTTGTTATGTATTTATGTACAAATGCATGCACGCATATGTTTACTCACATCCTGAGAAAACACAGGCCGACAAGCCTGTTTCTACAGAGAATTTCAGTGCCCCAAAGATACATTTAATGCATAAAGACTCTAGTGTGCAGTTCTGTATACTCAACATGGGCACTTGGTTGGAGTTTGTCTTTAAAAATCTGTAACATTTTTTCATGATTTTATATCCATCTGAAAACCAATTCTTCTGTTTTCCAACAGGCTAACTGATCATTCTCTAATATCAAAGTACAGCTGATTTTAAATAGTAAATGTTATAATTTATTCTCCACATGTGGTAACTTAGTTCTATTATTGACAATCAAGTAGATACAAAGAAAAACTAAACTATGATTACAGTCAGGAAATTTCTGGTGATTAATAATAATTCACAGGTTGCTGTAAGGATCTGCACTGTCCTACTTGTAAAACCATTTAAATAGAACATTATGATGAAAAGAGACTTCAGTATTGGGCATTATTTCATGGATAAGAATGGTAACTAAAATATACTTCATTTACTTTTATCTTTTATTATTTCTTATACTGACCCCCAAGTTATGAGAAAGATGGATTAGGTGTATATTAGGTGCACAGAAATGATATAATTCAATTTTAGGAACTAGAATATGGTGTGATTTGTAGTTAATTATAGTAAATATATTCAAATTTATTGTATTACAATGGGAAAATAATTTCTATGTTTCACCAATACTTGAACAAATTATCGACTTTATCCAAGTATGAATTAGTTATTAAGTATTAATTTTACAAACACATCACATTTTCTTAGTAAAAGGAAGTAAATAACACATATTGTTTTGTGTCTCTTAGTTAATAATAGAGAAGATAAAATCAACACTAACCTTTTCAATTTAGAAAAATATATTCAAACAAGCCAGAAACAATTCTAATAATACTTTTCTCCCCTAAATATCTTACTAAAGTTGTTATAAAATGGCACAAATGGTATAATATTTTTTCTTTTCTCTCTTTTCATGCCCATGGTCTACTAAAGAATTTCTGGTAAATATGAGAAGAAAAGGCAAAGATCTTTTTAGAAATGACAAAGTAAAAAATTTGACTTCAGATAATTAAGGTAAAAGGTACTCCTATGTGGAATTAAATATTAATTTATACAACTGTGCCTTTTAAGTCAAATTTATAGCTCTTTAATGCTTTATTTCTAGAACAAGTAAAAACATCACTATGCTACGGAGCTATGTGCACATCAGAATAAAGAAAACCAACACAAAAAGATGTAAAAACAAAATTACCTTCTTTCCTGGACGACCTCTTTGTCCTGGAATTCCTGTAATTCCTTCAGGTCCCTGAATATTAAGTATAAAAAAGGAAATAAATTATTAGAGACAGGACTAGATAGAATGGTTAAATACTTACATCACATGATCACTGACTTGAACAGTAAGTAAAAATGTGGGCTACTTCTCAATATTATTATGCTTGTATAACTATTTAAAAAGAGGTCATGATGAGTTAGAGGCCCAGCTGTTACTAGTGAGTAAAGTTCACATATACAAACCAGTCAAGATAGACAAAATGAAACCATTCTTAATCACAGAGGGAAAATAACTTGGTTTTAGCACAGCCAGTGAGAAAGTAATTAAAGTTAACCTAAATGCATCCATGTCAGCAGTTCTATGAGCTACTTTGGGTTCAACATCTTGTTGAATGCACAGGATTATAAAATATATCTAATACATTGTCAGGGAGAATCTCAAAATCTCACTGAAGGGTAAAATTAAGCAAATACTCTTTTATCTGTGGGGGAAAAAAAAGGAGAAAGGGGAAACACATTGAGAGAAAGGACGTGGTCATATTAAACTGTTTAAAACAATATTTTTATTTAAATCGGTATTTTATTTAACTAAAAGTTCTCAATAAACACTTTTTTTTTAAGTAAGAAGTGGTTAAAATATTTTAATGTCATATGAATTTGCAGGTCGACAATGGTTAGGCTTAAATGAGAGCCACAGTAAGCCAGGCTGCAAATTCAAAAATAGCTAATAATTAATCACAGCATTCCTTGCATTAGTTGGAAATGGAAATGGAAATTTCAAATTTGTGTCCCAAAACTTGGCAAAAGGCAAAAATGATGTAGACAAGAAATAAATTGTGGTTTACCACTGTGCTACGGAGGCTCTTGATAAATATTTGTTAAACGAATAAACAGATACCTAAGGAAATGACTCATGCCCTGTGCTCCTGAGCAAATGTTCTTCTAGCCTCAGAAAATCCGCTGAATTTAGAGGCCAAAGCGGTTACGTTCTATTGCTGTAGTTTCAGCTGCATCCAGAGGTTGAAATGATCTTACACTAACGTGAGACTTCTTTGCGGTTAACCTGGCCTTTTTAAGAGAGGATGATTAACATTTACAGAGGTTAACGACGTGAGCATTTAAGCCAGACTGCTCTAGTTGCATATTTTGGCTGTGTCACCTAACAGCTGTATGAGTATAGGTAGATTATTTCACCTCTAAAGGCCTTAGTTTCCTGTTATATAGCAGGGGTGTATTAATACTTGTTCAAAGAGTTACTAAGATTGAATGAGAAAGGACTAGGCTTATACTTGAAGAGCTCAATAAATGTCAGTTCTCATTAATTTCTGTTGCCTTTTCAAAGGGCATCATGTAATAATTAAATATATTTAAAAGCTTATTAATAAAAGGCATAATAAACACCCATGTGTCTACCACCCACTTTAAGAAATAGGAGCTATACACACACAAATACACAAATACACACAAGACTTAAGTCCTATATATGCACTTATATTTGTAAACATATCACCTCTCCTCACTCAGGTGCAACTATTGTCTTTAATTTATTTATTATTCTCATGCATTTATTTACATTTTTACTCCATTTGTATATATTCCCAAGCATTATATGCTTATGTTGCATCTTTTGAAACTTTCAATAAGCAGTATCATACTTTACACATTCTTTTGAAAATTTTTTTAGAACAATATTTTGTTTTTGAAATTATTTAGTGTCTCTACTCTACTTACATTTTGTATTCACTTCTATAGTGGTGGTGGTTGTGGTTTAGTCACTAAGTTGTGTCTGACTCTTGTGACCCCATGGACTGTAGCCGGCCAGACTCCTCTGTCCATAGGATTTCTTAGGCAAGAATGCTGGAGTGGCTTGCCACTTCCTTCTCCAGGGGATCTCCCCGACCCAGGGATCGAACCCAGGTGTCCCACATTCCAGATTCTTACGGACTGAGCTACAACATTAAATAGTAGGATTCCGTTCTGTAATCAAACCACAACTTACTCAGCCACTTCCCTAGTGATGAACTTTTGGTAGTTTTTTTGTTTGTTTGTTTTGCTTTGCTTTGTTTTTTATGCTATGAACAGCCCTTCAATAAATACTTTTGCACCTACCTCCATATACCTACGTCAAGAGCTTTTTGGGTTAGGGTGTATACTCTGGAATTGAATTGCTGGCTTGCAGGATACATGTAACTTTCAGTACATAAGATTTTGCCAACTTGTTCTCCAGAGTTTTAGCCTATTTACATCTCTCAAAGCTACATTTACAAGTTCCAATTACTCCAAATCTTAAATGTTTGGTACTATCAGACTTAAAATTTGTCCATCTCAAGGGAGCAAAATGACATATTATTAGGGATTTCAATTCACATATTCCTGATTATTAAGGAAGAATGAATATCTCTTCATACAGTAATTCAGCATCTATATGTGAATCACTAGTTCCCATCTTTTGTCCAGTATTCTAGATCCAAGGCCTCCTCATCCTTGCCACCACTGCAAACACAGTCAGTATTAGGAAGTAAGAAAAGAAGAAGGTGGAAGACTTCTTAGCATCAAAAGAGTCTGAGCTTTACCCAAAGATACTACTACATTATAGGAATAGATTAAGCTTTTAACTGAATTGGATATAAAAGTTTCCTTTCTTTCTCAATTCCCCAACCACTCTTCACTAATCTAAGTTAGGACTTGTGAGGAAAACCAGATTAGACAGAAATAAATTTTATATTTGCACATGTCTAAGTACCAATCTGTAACCCTATTACACACTTAATTGTAATAAGCAACAACTCAGTAGCTCACCTAAAAATCATACTTTTTCTTTATCATGCTTTCCCTCTTTCTCAACATCCAAACCATGAGCAAATCCAGCCAACTATATCTCCAAGATGTCTTGAATCTGATCATTATTTACTATCTCTATTGCTCCCCTGCATTCCAAGTCACTCTATCATTTTTTCATCTACATGACTGCCACAGCCTTGTAAGTGATTTGGTCCACTTTTACCCTTACATTCCATTTCTTCAGAGTAACCCAAATGATCATGAACAGTTTTAATCAAACATCTCTCCTTGTGTAAAACCTTCCAAATGGCTTCCCATTGCAATCAGAATAATCTTTAAACCTCTTATCGTGGTCTATAGGCCCCTATATGATCTGCCACCTCCTATTTCTCTGACATCATGTTTTCCAGTTATTTACTACTTGGACCCTTCCATTTTTAAAATAAGACATTTAAAAGACACCCTTTCTACCTTGGGGCATTTGCATTAGATGTTTCCTCTGCCTAGAAAACTCCTTTTCAGATAGTCACATGATTGGCTTCTTTTTATCATTAGGCATCTGGTTCTATGTAACTTCAGGTAGTCCTTCTGTGGCCATCCCAATTAAAGTAGCCTCTTTATCAGGGCATTCAAAATCCCATTACCATGTTTTATTTTCCTCTTAGGGCTTTCACTATCAGAAATTATTATTCTTGTTCACACTGTCCTTCTACACTGCATGTTCCATGATAGCAGAGATCTTGTCTGTTTTGCTCATTGTTCTAACAGGGTCCAGAACTGTGTCTCGTATATAATTGATGCTTAATAAATATTTAATAAATGAATGCTAGAATGCATGCCCAAAGGAGAAAATATTTAGTCTTACAGACAGTAGCTGGTCTACTAGATATCTATTTGTAAATAAATAACACCTTAAAAAAATTTACTATCTGTTGGAATTAAACCCAAAGTTCATGAATAAAAGGCAAAGGATAGTGATATTTTTATACTTTTTAGCTTCTAGGAAATAGAACGAATGGACCTGTTAGAAATCTTCTGCATAGTAAACTTTCAAACATATTTGAAGAGCTCATTATGTGTGAGAAAAGACACTGCCTGTGTTCTATATTGTATTTTCTTCTGTCATATCAGAAAGATCTTCCCTGGTATTTTCATTCACTTTTTTTCTGTTTAAAGGTAGTTTGTTTTTCTTTTTGGGGAGTGGCGGTGGTAAACTTCCACTGATATTAGGTTGATTTATTTTAGTGTTTGTTCAGAAATGCATCAGTGATAATTTTCTCCGAAATGTTGGCTTTTAAAAGTTTTAATTAAAAAAAAAAAGTTTACATGACCCACTGCAACCTATTCGTGTATTTAGAGACTTGCACGGCAGAGTAGAAAAAGGCAATCATTTCTCAATGTGCATGTTTTAATAGACTTCTTCAATGATTACACAAATAAGAATGCTTTTAAACAAATGTCATGTTGACAGAGAATAGTTGCCTTGATGTTCAGCCTACTCACACCACAGAGGACAGATTTGGGATTCCCTAATGATTTAACTTTGTGAGAGTAGCTGTGGTCTCAGAAGTAACATATCATGTCTATTTTTAAAAACAATGGTTTTTGCGATATAATTCACATACCATATTATTAATCTATTTAAAGGAGTGACCCCCAATCATTCTGGCACCAGGGACTGGTTTCATGGAGGACAATTTTTCCATGGACTGGGGAGATAAGTATGGTTTCAGGATGACTCAAGTGCATTACATTTATTATGTCATCTCTGATCGGACAGGAGGCAGAGCTCACATGGTAAAGAGAGCAGTTGTAAATATAGATGAAGCTCTGCTTTCTCACCTGCTGTGTGGCCTGGCTCCTAACAGGTCTTGGACCAGTATGGGTCCACAGCCTGGGGGGTGGGGACCCCTGATTTGAAGTGTATGATTCAATGGTTTTTATAGTTCTGTGCAACCATCACCATAATTTTAGAATCAATTTCTATCACCCCATAAAGAATCCTGTACCCACTGACAGGCATTTCCAGTTTCCTCCCAAGCCCTAACCTTAGGCAACTCGAGTTTGCTGTCTCTAGAGATTTGCCTGTTTGGGATATTTCCTGTATTATGTGGTCTCTTATGACTGACTGCTAGGCATAATGTTTTCAAAGTTCATCAAGATTGTAGCATGAATCAATATTTTTTTTTTGCATGGATCAGTATATTTTTTATTGCCAAATAATATTCCATTGTATGATATACTACATTA